ATGTAGCAGATCACATGGGACCAGCACAGGGATAAATACAGTATAGCTTCTAGGGGATCATGGAGGAAACCCCAGTTGAGATTCTGGGAGAAGGACTCATGAGTTATAGTCAGTGGCTGGAATCCACCAAGGCCACTCCTGAAGAAGAGATCATTTCAGACATTATGCATGGGCGAAGGGGGAACAGGAGCATTGTGTAGTGGTTCAGTCAGTTTTGCATTTCAACCAGAAACTTGTAGAACATCTCACTGCTCTAATTTACACAGCATTTGCTTCACCCAGCTGCAAAATGCTTAAAATACGCAGCAATTTGAATCAATGGGAGCATTTTCCGGCATTAGGGTGGCAGCGAGAAGACCTTAAACCATCAAAATTCAATTCTATTCTATTTTTACCACATGCTGCAGCAAGAACACAGTAAATATTCCGATATCTCATCACACCATCGGCAAAATGAACAAGCCTCCGGATCGTCAAAGTAGTTTCCCAAAGACTTGCTTAAAAACATGCTGCATTAGGGCATTTATGGGCATATTTATATGTGTATGTGCATATTATCAGCTGTGCACATTGATCTGCTAGTGGGCTGCATATATTAGCATAGGTGATTATAACCTTACGAAGGAACATTAAATGCACAGTTATCAGCAAATAGCATCTCTGCACTCCGTGTACTCATCCACTGTAAGGATATAACTTCTGAACTGTCCAGCTGCACCAAAAATGAAAGAAAAATGTGATGAAGTTTTAACCAATTTAAAATACATGGGAGGAGTTGTTGGGGTCTGATTCGTCACCACTCGCAGGCCTTTAATAAGCTGTCAGCGTATGTTCTTTGAAACTTTAGCGTAGCTCCAGAGGAGAGCAGGGGCTGTATAAACTAGTCACTCTGCTGGAAACCCACAAAAAATTTATACAGTGCAATCAAGATGAAGATCTTAACATGCAAACAGATTACAGGCTGCCACTTTAGCAGAATTGCATCAATGCTACAGCACTTTTTCCTTCCACTCAACTTTTCATTAACATGCTTAGATTCTTTAGCAGCGACCTTTTGTATTTACTGAGGCTTTCGAAGACCATGTGCAGGAGAGCCAAAAAAATATATAATTAAACTAACATATTTGTATTTATCTAAAGTCTTTATCTAAGTTGGGTTTTCATTAACAGAAAAGTACTGATGATTTATATCAATATACCAGTAAGAGATCTGCTTGTAGATTTTCAAACATCAACAAATGTTAAATTATTATAAGAAGACACAAATCTGTGTATTTAAAGTGAAAACCTTCTCCCTCATGTGAAACGTTGGCAGAAACATGAGATTGTCAAACCGTTTTTCAGATTTGTGAGAAGATAAATCAATAGTCTCATTACGGAGCGTCACACACACGCTTTTATCTCATCCATCAAACACACTCACACTGGGACAGGCACGTAAACACTCCGACGGGCCTTTTTTATTATACACTCACGACAAACCGACAAACCGTTCCTTTAAAAGGCACTTTATAAACAATGGCACAAAAAAGTGTTCCCACTTATTTTATCTGAAGACCGACAGGCGGGGCGGACAACAAACAATTATCCCAGGAGCGTGGTTGAGGGGAAAGATCGAAGATCGGGAAAACAAACACGTGTGATGTCATCAAAGCTAAATGGCAAGCCCAGTGTGAGAACGACTGGAGAGTCTCTTCATATTTACTGTTGCTGGGGTTTCAATATCAACGCCACAGGAAGCACATCAGATGTTTCTCTTTCCGCCGACTGATTCGCACAAACTGCTATCTCTATTTGATGCGAATCAAAATAGGACTAAAAAGGTTAATCTACAGACAAACAGCGCTGAACAAACAGCTCCGGCGGATCAGGCGGGTGCAGAGCTTATATGAAACGGCAGATAATTATGTTTCTGAAAAGGCCAACGTTTGGAATCATTCTTTTTTTTTTTTTAAAGAGCAAATGTGACTCTGCCGGCGCTTTGATTAATGAGCGTTTTTGGAGACGCAGCGTAGCGTGGGGATACAACTCAGAGCGTTCGCAGGAAGGCGGGGCAGACTTAAATGGAGGCTGTAGTCCATAAAGAAAACACATGGATGCGGTGCATTGTAGCTCCTTAGGAATGTGCAGATGATGACTTTAATTATTAAAAACATTTAAGCTCATCAGACTGAATGTCGCCTGTTAACTCTGGGCAGATTTATAGACAAGGTCTGCAAGTTTGAGCATTTTGCTCCAGTGAGTGAACAGTATTAGAACTATTCTTTAGATGTTTTAGAAATTATCTGTCTGTCATGTTCCATGGCGAAAGCAGCTTATTGAGATTCTAAGAGATAAAGCAATATAAGGTAGATGAGAAGCAGAGAAAAAATACAAAACGATGCATATCTGGCCTCCCTGAGAGAATAACTGTTTTGTGGGACTTTCAGCTGAAGGTCCGTTTTAGCTTTGCTCCCTTTCCCCTTCGTCTTCTCCTTCTTGTAACATCAGATTTTAACTATTAACATACTTTCCTACTGGGATGCAGACCTGTACTTTGACTACTGTAGGACATTCTAAGAAATGAATATGTTTCTAATTAAAATGCCCTGTTATGGCTCTGGTTATACTGTGTTGCATTGGAAACTGAATCTCTTCTTCAGTCTCAAGACTTTTTGCAGCCTGTACACGTTTTTAAACGCAGTATTAAGGGGACTTAGTGGTCAGAGGCCAAAACAATCTTTAAAGACTGCAAGTTTCCCTACTGGAATCCACCAGATGGTCAATTCAGTCCCCAGAACCTAGATGCTTAGAGAGGCTCAACAGAATAGAAATGTTAAGAATCATTAAAATGTGCAAAAGTTTTAATGACAGATGGTTATTATAGCTATAATCAAAATAAATTTGCTCTGACTATCATCTCTGCCCATACTGAGGAAAAGCCTCCCCACAGCATGATGGTGTTTCCACCATGCTTTACCATGAGTATGGTGTGTTCAGGTTGACGTGAATATTGTTTTCCTTCGCATGCAGGGTTTATGTCCAAAATGTTGAACAAGGACCTGATTTGAACAGAGCAATGTCTTCCGGGTTTACGGGTTTACTGTTTCCTCTACGTTTTTTGGGATTTGGTGCTCACTTGCAATATATATGTAAATATATATACTCTTACCCTGTATATAGCTAGCTCTTACTCATAGAAAACATATTTATTGTGCAGGAATAAGGTCTTAGCTCTGTTACACTGGTAGCCAAGTAATCGACATATCATTGTCAAGATTAACCTTGTGTTTTTTGTGCAATGACAAAGAAGTCTAAGTGTAACAGCTGACCTGACATCATATTCTTCCCCTGAGCTGTGGACCTCTGCAGCTCCTCCACAGTCACCCTGTAATCTTTTATCGTCTGTCAATAATGTTTTGCTTTGTCTTCTTCACCATGCTGTTTTTTTATTATTAATAATGTCCTCTAACAAAACTCTGAAACCTTCAGGTAACAACCATATTCGTATTGAGATTATACGGACATTTTCCTCCACATCATAACAATGAGCCACTCTTTCTTAGTCTATAACAAACACATTATGAGTTCACTCATTTGAAATGCTGATAGTACATCTCATATTATATATGTAGACATTCTCATCATGGCTAGTTATTACAAAAATATTTTGTCCAAATATAAATTTAAGTTATTTCTAAACATCTGCTGCCCCCTGCTGGCCATCTACTGCATAAACCCAAAGGATCAAGAGCAACTTCCATAGAAGGGCCATAAGCAGCATAACGCTGAACTTCCTGTATCTCAGTCAGGTGTTTTGGAGCAAAAACACATCTTTAACTTACACACCTCATATATATACAGTATATATTCCTACATTATACTAAACCAACGAACCATAACGAGGTACACTCTCCGTTATTCAGTTATCTAGTATAGCGTTACCACAAACAGTTTCTTGCCAAATGATGAGCACAGATCCTGAACATCAAAACAATCATCAGCAGTCTGACCTTGACAAACCAGTCCAACTAAACAAGATGATGCTTGTTTAAAGTAAACTGAAAGAACAGCCAAATTTAATCCTGTATTCATAAAAAACACAAATGCATATGTGTCTATTCTTTTTTCTTTTGTCTTCTTTAGGTGTCGCATTGCTCTTCATCTTCTATACATAAAGAGACGCCTTTATCTACCAGAGACTCTCTTTAATCAAACATGTTTGCGTGGTAAAGTAGTTCAAATTAAAGACTCCGCAGCTGCTATTCTGGCAGGAATCTCCGTATAATTTGGGGCTTTTAATAACTTGTTTCCAGGGTTTTCAGGACAATATATCAGAAGACATCCGCATGAAGAGTTTGGAGGTTTTAGGATGTGGGCCTGTTTGCCTCTACCTGGTGCCTCATTTCCAATTTCATCAAAGTGCAAAGATTTGATGGTTGAACCTTGGACCCAGCTGGGTGCTCTAACTGGATAATGTTGCCAAACACAGACAGAATATGTTCAAAAGCTGAGGAAACTATTAAACTAACCAATCCATCTCAATAAACTGCATCGATTCTGACAAGAAGAAAGGTCAAAACGATCCAGAAGCTGATTGGTTCCTTTGATTGAGGATAAGGAGCCTCAAAACCAGGGTGATTAAAGTTATATTGATAATGAACCTGTAAGTGTAACCTTATAAGTGAATTAGAGAGTACCCAGGATCCATTCAAGGTGCAGCTGTTCAGTGCATATTTATCCCCTCCCCCCCAAAAAATGCAATAAATAATCAAATGCCACAAATAACACTCAAGCCAATGACGAGTCCTTCTGTGTAGCGAGAATAAGTCCTCAGATTAAGCAACTGTCTAACCTAACAAACTCGGTCTATAAACGACTTTAAATCATGTATCTTCCAGAAATATATATTTTTAAAGATTTCTTCTCAAACTGCCTTAAAATAAGCATGTAATGGAATGAAAGCGGATGAGTGATGTGTTTCAGCAGCTTCTTGTTCAGGATCACAGGTCTGGACTTACTGTGAAAAGCTCCGGGGAACTGTAGTTCTGATCGAGGTAGGCACGGGCTCTGGTGAACTCCTTCATGGGATCACTGTAGAACAGCTCGCTGATGGAGACACAGATTTATCAGAATCTAAACCCTCCTGTGAACCTTAGATACTCTGCTAAACTCTATAAAGCAGAATTATCTGAGATCAAAATCACATTTTGCACAAGGAAGCAGACTCCTGAGCTGACGTAAAGTGACCAGAGGGGGGAGCAGTCCGTTCAGTTTCCAACAGCCTGCCCTGTTGTCGCTACCACTGTCAAATCAATAATACTGAGTAAAAGTCTTACTTACTTTACAAAACTGTTGACATCTGAAGCTGATGTCTCTGCACTCTTCCCACCCAGCTCCTGGCAGTGGATGGCAATGAAGTGGGGCTTGTGCATTTGTACTGTCTGAGATAAAGGAGACAAAACAGGAAGAAGAGGGTCAAAGGAGCAAAAGGTTGACTGCTTTTACTCTATAGTCAAATGTATTCTAAAGAGGGAGGGCAATTATCGATGCTAAAGCAGAAATAAGGTGGGATTCAGTGAATATGAGCTTCAACAAAGCTCCCATCATAATTTTCTATCAGGGATGTTCCTGCAGCTCTGTATGCACGAAGGGTGTGACTGATGATCAGACGTCAAATATCGAAAAGAGCCGGATAATAACTCTGTTGTTCCAGGAAGACTCAAACAAACAGAGAAGATATTAAATTTAGTCTCAGTGGAAAATCTGGTAACGTATCGACGAGTGTCATGAACTTCAGGGCTTTTATCAGTTCATCTGAACTACTTTTTTAGGGCAGATTCATCAAGGAAAAAAACGCAATGATTTTTATCAAGGATAAATACGGGTTTATCATACAGATAAAAATATATATATTCTAACTAATAAATGTTGCTTAAAAAGTTGCACCTTATTAGTCTAGATAGAAATTTGGATTTCCTTATTGAAAAACATGATGCTTCCCTTTTAAATGACAATCATTTATTTAAGATGAGGCAATGACCATTGCTAAAGCTTTTGTTGGTCTGATTTGGTAATTCTTAAAGCATTTCTGATGTATGTTTAGGATAATTTCGTCAGAGCACCAGGCTGTGGCCAAACTTTTACCCGTCTGGCTTTTAGGGTGAAGTGGAAGGATCTGCAGTTATTTTTCATTATCTTTATACTATTCAGTTCTGTTCACTTCATTAAGAGTATCCAGCATGATGCTTCTGCCTGGTTTCAAACTAACGGATACTGGATTTGCAGCAGTTCTTCAGTCAGGGTAGGTTTAACCTATGCTGGTGATCATAACAATTTTCTAACCAAAGTTATTCTTTAAGAACACCCTTCCAAAAGATTGACTCTCAGTCATGTTAAACACTCAGTGGACTAAGCATTTGCAATTTTCTTGACACTTTTCTCCCTTTAGCCTCACAAATACCGGCTTCTGGTTCAGACATAAGGGAAAGATAGGATTCATTAGCAAATAAATCAAAATTAGCAGATATTCTGGCTTTTAATTTCATATTCCACTGTTTCTTTTTTTAAATGACAACTGCAACCTGTTGCATAGTGCAGCTCTACAGGAAACCAAACGGTTAATTTAATCTCCTGCAAATCTGCAGAGATTAGTCAAGTGTCCGACAAGAAATAAACCAAAAGCCTAAAGAGGAGAAAATCTGAAGGCATTGCAAGGTCTTTGTTAGTCTTCATAACTTTGTTCCTTTGATTCTTCAGGTATGAGATTAAAGCAATTTTAATTAAAGTGTTTATTCACTTTACACAGCAATTTAATAAAAGCCATACAACTTGACCAAAGTATTGTGACAAAGCTTGGGGTCCATTATGGCCATTATCTGCTGTTGCTTATTGGAAAGTCCTGTCTTGGGATGTCTAAATGGACTGACTGAGCATATAACCCTACACCAGTTGGTAAACTCAACAATAATTACATGCCTTTTAGATTGAAATAAAGAGAGAAACAAGAAATAAGAAAGAAACAAGAGAAAACAGTACAATTATGATGATAGAGAGCATTGCCGTAGTATGTAATACCCCCCTGCTTGGATCAGAGAAAAACGATAAAATCTAATTGTTATAAAGCTCTGCTGTTTTTTTTTTCTTCTTAGTTTTATTTGTAAAGCCTTCTGCCACAAAACAAGAACAGATCCTAAAGTCACAATGATCAGAGCCATGAAGCCGTGATCCATTTTCTCTTCGGCAAGCTCTCCTTGAGTCATGTGACCCTCATATTACTGCCCTCTTCCACTCATCGAGGTGTTTGTGAGCATCGTGTCAGAGGTGCACCGAGCGGCAGACTTCTAATGGAAAATCGATAGTGGGGAGTGATTTACAGCCCTCGCAGGCACTCACAGGGGTCCGGCCAGTGGACGGCGAGACCGTGCATCAAAGTCACAGAAGGTCGTGGTCTAAAAATGCTCCCCGGACCCAAATGCTGCCCCCATAGTTACTTTACCATCACACCCCTCTGCCCCCCCACCCATCAAGTTGGAGGAACCCTCTCTCCACAAGCCTAACCATATAAAGGTAATGTATAGTGGAAACGCTATGGATTTTCCATCAACCTATGGCTTGTTACTTAACTGGATGACCTAAGATTGCTGACCACAAGCAGTTCACAGCTGGCGTTTCAATCTTCTATCAAACCTTCAGAGGAAAAGGTCACAGCCTCAAGGATCTCACCACTAATGTGTGTGTATGTGTTTATGTTGCCTATTAAGGACATTTCCTGGTAATTAATCTACTGAAGATAGATGGGCCATAGGGGGACCAGTCCTAATGGAGCAGATGGCACTTTTAAGGCAAGGGTCTTAGGTTAGAGGTAAGATGAGATTGGCGTTAACAGTAACATGGTAATGCTTAAAGTTAGGGTGAGGCAATAATTAAGTAACTTAAACAATTTGAATAAAAAATAAAGGCCTTTTATGGGAGCACAATGTGTCCATCTAAGACCTTTTCTATATAGTCACTAACCTTTTGCAGACTGAAAAGAAAATCTATGGCTTAAGGAAGTTTTGAGTATTTAACCCACAGACCATAGAGTGAAGCTCATCCTCCTTGGCAAGTGGATAAGAATATCTAATATAGTAATAAGAAGAAAAAAACAAAAGGAAATACCCAAATTGTTGCATTAACAGTAAACTAACCTCAGTAAACTGAAAAAAAAACTAAAGTTTAAAGAACACATACTGTAGTATAAAATAAAACTATATAATATTATATAAACCAATTAACTGCATACTTAAGTGTCTAATTTAAGAGGTAGATAGATCATTACTAGATTAAACACATAAAAAAAGTTGTTTTAAACAAAAGTCAATCCAAACCCGTAAAATGTACAAAAATGAGTGTCTATGTGAGTACGATCTACGCTGGATGTGCGTGTGTTTATTCACCACCTTCAGTTTATCAGTCAAGTCTTTACATGGAGCTCTAAGATGGCAAACCAATCACCAGCTCTAAACCAGACGGATTAAACAACGGCTTTGCCTTTTTTTCTGCAAAAAACAAACTTTTTTCTGGGTTCATATTACAGATACACAGCTTACATATACCGGTAACCATTGACGTTTAAGTAGCAAGTGCCATATTGACTTTACACTATGCAGCTACTGATGAGCAGCAACAGTGCAAGGCCGATAAAAGCCACCCTCAGACGGTGACAGCTGCTCGGTGTGAGTGCTGAGACGAGCCCGTCCTGACATGCTGTCGTGGCTAACAGAGACCTGCCATATGGGACCGCTTCTCAGTCTGACACTGGTGTGTTTGATTTGTAGGCATGTCCACTCCTCCTGCCTCTTCCCCCTCAGTGACCTGACTCTTGGCAACGTCTGAATTCCAAGGAGGCTCCCGTTTGTGTAAATATCTCATTTGTCAGACTTTCTTTGGCAGACCTCACCTTTAATCTCATCTCACACATTCAAATCTGCCATCAAGGGATTACTAAATATACTCCAAATCAGGAGCTTAACATTTTTCCCATTGTGTCTACTACAGCTACATCTCAGATTCTTATTGAAGTTTTATTTAATAGATAAGTGGTTAGCAACACATACAAAATAATAACCAATTTTATCTTTAATTTTATTAGTCCATTCCACTAATAAAATTACTAATAAAGTCACAGAACTAAAATGATCCTTTGATAAGAGAAAAAAAAAATATCAATAATAAGTAATAAATAATTTCTATAATTAAATATTCTATCATTTTGGCTTCCTTTGAGGTTAACGACTACAACCTTTGTATCTTTAGGAGTAAAAAAAAATAAGTTTTACCTCCTCTTTAATTTCACATTTCTGTAAAAGCTGTAAAACACAAAAAAAAACATATATTGAACCATTATTCTGTTGTGAAAATTCAATAGATAATTTATTTTGAACTAAAATAAAGGGTTAAAATTAAAGGTATTGTGGATGATTTTTGCGAATATTTTAAAAGCCCCGTACTCTCCACCTTACGAAAAAACTCCCGAGAAGGAATGCCTATTAAAAGTGTGTGAGAGCGTACACGAGCCCATTTCTCCTCGTGCACGCTCTGTTTAAAAGTTGCTGTTCTCATAGCTCATAGTAGCTTACTGTGCCCGAACGTCTGCCCTAACCCCTAAATCTCTCAATCCATACACTATATATAGTATAGTGTATGGGACTATATAGGGACTATATAGTAGACTTTATAGCAAACTCAGTTAACTGACCGTTTGGACAGATGATCACTGCTTTTTGCTCCCCGTTAGTCACGCAACTCCTCTTCCACCGTGCAGTGCCTGCGCCATCTTTGTTATTAGTCGCCACTGTCGGGTAGCAACAGCCTATGTTGACAGGCTGCTGTGAAAGCAAATCCCATAATGCTTTGCGAGGAGAGCTCTCCGTGCAAAGCATTCCGGGATATATCTGCCTCTTCTAAGGCCTTTCTTTTCTTCTCATACACTTCATCGACACTTTTTCTCTTACGACCCTCAGCAATTTTTAAAGAACCGCGGTGAAAAAGGTGAGCTTCAATGACTGTTTGAAACCGAAGCTCACCAAAGATATATGCCTGAAAGTTTGCATGCGCTGAAAAATATAGTTAACGGGATGAGCACGTAGGAGGGCCTAACGTAAACATACCACCAGAATGATTGACAAATAGGAGGACCACTTATTTTGATGATCCACCCGGAAATAAAAGATCGTCCTCTATACCTTTAAGTAAAAGTGCTAACAAACTGCAGAGAGTAAAAATAAGAGTAATAGGCGAATTCAAAATATTCTTATATCAATTTATTTTTCCTGATAGTGTTGATGCACCTCTAGTTCAGGTTCATAAAAAAAAAGAAAAAAAAAATGATTAACTTGATTGGAACTTGGTTGATTCATTTGATAAACAGGCTATAATGCCTTAAAAAGTAATTGATGTAAAG